AACGTTTTAATGAAATTATGGGGATTATTTTGCCTCTGGATAAATAACAGAAAACACATGGCTACTGTTCAATCTGTCAGGCTTTTTAAGACAGCATGACCTTTAAATATCCTGACTATATGATCTTTCAATTCATATTTCCAAAACTATCATTTTGCCCTTATGCAAGAGAGTCTTGGTCCCCTGCCCCCATTTCAGTAACGATACTCACTGAAGTCTGCATGGCAGCTAAATATAGCCAGCAGAGAGGCTCACAGCAGAGTGACGGTATGTGGTCCAGACTGATCTTTCCATCTGTCTGCTGCAACAGTAGAAGGACTGAATGGATCTTTTAAGCTGATTGTAAATCATGAAAACATACTCCAACAAATAATTGTCACTGGAAATATATTAGTTTTATTAATTTGATGCCAGCGATTCAGTTTTATTGTTCTGTAGGTTAACTTACTTTGTGGCGGACCACTAGGGGGCTCCACTGCATGTCCAGAGTGAAGATGACGCGACACAAAGCAGTTGGAGTAGAATAAAGAACTGTTTAAACTTGCCTGCTTTGTGTCGTCATCTTTTGAACCCACAGCAGCAGGCGTTGCTGCCTGCTCACCATGTTTTCTGAGCAGTGCAGTCTGCGTAGTTCCAAATTTTACCAGGTGCTCCTATCTGCACAGATGTTTTTTCATGTTTTTGCTGGTCGGTACTTGCTAATAAAATTGGATGTAGGAATAATGCGTATTAAACAATGTATGCCGCTCGGCCAGTGTATGCTGTCCTGATGGAACACTGGCCAGAACAGCAGGAAAGTATAAATGCTGCAGACGCTGTGACGAGTGGTTAATTTTCCAGGCAGTATGTCCATGCTTCAAGCATAATGAGCTCTTTACACTGCTTACATAATAGATTACATCATTGAGATTTAGCTTAAGCAAAAAAATAGATTTTCATCAAGAGGTTTTTTTGTTAAAAGCTTCTTTTTTTTTTTTTTTGCACTGTGACGGATGGCTCATTTTCCACGCGTCAAATATAATGAACCCTTTAATGGCCCACTAACCTTCAGGGCCCCAACATAAACGTTTCACTTTTAACACAAACAATCTACTTTAAAATTTGTATTTTTCCTATGAAAATTAGGATATGATCAGGTTTTATTTTACTCTTTCAACAAGGCGATTAAGGAAATAAAGATTTTAAATTGTTTCAAAAATCAAAAGAAAAAGGCAGGTTTACTTTGTTTAATCTTTCTGTTAATGTCTTAGTTTTTCAGGGTTTCTAGCATCTGAGCTCCATTTTTTCCACAAATGCATGTTTTCAGGTGAATTCTTACAAATCATCACAATCCTGTTTAAAGCTGTTGATGCTGTCCAGTTTGCAAACCTTTAAAAGATCAGCTCCCATGTTTTTAACACAAGACATAGCTTGATGAACTCATTTGAACAGCTGTCAATAATTCTTTCCTACAAAGGTTTAGAAATTAAATTTTTCCTTTTACAATAGATTATAAAACAATCAGAAATTAAACTTCAGATCTTTAAAACTTTTCTTTTTATTAAAGCTGATTGATGAAAAAACATAAAAACATTTTGGGAACCGTTTATTTTTTAAGTATCATGAACAAAATGAACCAAGCAAACAAAGGCTGAATCAGAGGTAGGCCTTGAAATTTAAGACATATCTGCATGTGTTTTTTTCTTTTTTTTTTCTTTTTAGTTAAAAAGGAATACAAATAAAATTTATTTGGGCATAAAATTTATTTGAAGGATATCTGGCTGGAAGCATTTTTAGCCCAACTAAACAAAAGCTGAGTTGTTAGTACAAATCATCAATCACAGCAGCCAGACTGAACGGTGGTGCTGGAAAAATCTCTTTAAAGAACACAGCCTTGTTTTCTGGAATCTGTAACAACAGATTACATGGGTTATGTTGCAGCAACTCAGTCTTGATTAAACATTAAAACTAAATATATCAGCAAATCTCCAGCATTAAGGATTAATACATTCCTCATGCCATCACAGTGCAAAGAGTTCAAAACAGCAAAATCTTGTGAAAAGCATACAAGAGAATTTCTGATCTGATTAATATCTTAAAGGGAGTAAAGCTTTGCCTCTGCAAAAATGATATTATCTGGGCTGCAGGGTGCTATGCATTAGTGTGTCTGCGGTACACATTTGCATCCCACACATATCCCCCGGCAGGAGCAGAAGCTAATCTGCAAAACACTGCACTTCTGAAAATAAATCATGATCTTTACAATAAGCCTCAAAGGGAACACCATACTCGGAACAACGTTCATTAAGAACATTTTAAACTGCAGAGTCTTAAGTTAAAGATAAGACAACATTATGGATGTCATAATAGTCCTTTTTTTGCATTTCCTTCTTTTATTGCCAAAATCTAAATAATCAAAACATACTATCCCTGCAGTTGAAAAGGTTGATGTTTTTTAACACACAATTAAAATCACAACTTATGCAAAAGAAAACAAAAAGGATAATGCATCTCTGAGCTCATTGAAGGTAAATATCTGAGGTGGAACCAAGTCATCGCATTGCAAGTCCACCCAAATCCAGGAAAAAGGCGTGAAAGTCTCAAATTGACACAAAGTCCTAAACTTTTAAGTTTGAGTCTTAAACAATCACAGTAAGGATGATTTTGATTGTCTTAAAGGTGCAGGGTCACATAACATGACATATTTTAAACGTATATGCCTGTAACTCACTTCCCATGCATCTCTGAAAGGTTATTGTGTTCTGCTGACATATTGTTTGTTATTTTCTCATTTTTTTGTATTTGTCTTTTTCTTGCTTTCTCTCCCTTCCCTCCTCTGACAAAGGTATTCTCACTCTTTTTTTTCTGGCTCATTCATGTCATAAACTTCAATATTAACTGTTCTATAATCACCTGTGGGTAGATCAGTGGGAGGCATGTCGCTGCTTCAAAGCTGTTGGTCTTACAGGGAGAATCAGGGCAGACCTGGCGCACTGCCAAAGGTTTCGGGTGCCATTTTCTTCACCGGACCCAGAAGGGGGAGATGACAGTCCCCTCAGTTGTCTCATTAACACTTAGATAACCATCAGTTGGAGTTAAACAAGGGAGATGTTAAAGTAAAAATCTGACTTAATGCTGCTTTTAGGGCTGCAACTAAGGATTAGTTTGCTATATCAATTATTTTTCCCTTTAATCTATTAATAATCAGATAGCAAAAGGTTGTTTAAAGAAGACTTTTTGCGAAATTAAACCAGGTGAAACTAAAGTTTTTCGACTTGAGGAGTTTTGGACAGAGCATAGTGACATATAAAAAGATTTTTTGGTAAAATTGCTGCTCAAGGTGGGTCGCTCTGTCAGCTAAAGGCACGTTTTAGAGTCTCTACCCTCCAGTTAACGATTAACAGATTACTAAATTAGTCAGGATCTTTTCTGACGCATTTTTTACCATGTGGCTTAAAGATCTCCCCGCAGCCGCTTAGCAAGCAGTGAAATAGAAGTTCTGGAAGTGAAACTAAATTAAATGGTCCCTGCTACAGTGAGAAATCAATGAATAACCCCGACCGATCACAAAACACAGTCCGTTGTATACGACTGGTTCCTGACCCGTCAATCATGGTCGTCTGCTTGACGCCATGACGTTCACACCTAAAGCAGCAGCAAAAACGTGCGTGCTGCTTCATATGTGATGCTTGTACAAGTTTAGTTCTGAAGCATCTTTGCTGCTCTAGCTGCGAAGTGCTATCCTATCCTGTCTTTGCCTGTGACAGTGGCAGATATATTTGCTGTGATCAGTGGATAAAAAGTAGTTTGAATCTATTTTGAAGTGAGAAAGTCCATCTGAAAACATCGTCGGTGCTCTCAGTTCATCAAGTTATCATCCTGGCTTCAAATATTATTTCACCGGCGGTGCGCTGTCACTAGGAATCCCATTCAACAGCAGCCTCTGGCCCGGTCACCTCCTTGCGGTTTGCCGAGGCGGCTGGAAGGCCTTCTTTAATGTACGTAATACAAACTGCAGGGACCAGGATAATAAAAGCACACATGATTTTCAGGCAGATTTCGGCATTTTAAGTTAAGGCGTTAATAAACTCTTTCAAAGGAGTGATCATAGTGCTCTGCATCATCAGTGCTGCTGTCTACCTGACCGCTTGAGATCAGCGATGCACTGCTCATGCTGCTCTAGCATGCTGTCTGTAGCTCGTTCATGTGTTTTAAAGCCGTGGTTTTGAGGGGTGGTCTGAAGGGAGAGGCATGGTTTTGTATGTTCAAACTACAGTTTGCTGGAACCGTTTTTCCAAGATCTCCTATAGCACCTTTAATCTGAGTTTTTCAGCACTACCTGCTTTAAATACAAATATAACTTCACGTGTTCTCCTTTATTTACATTTAAGCAGCTGATTTTCATTTTACAGATCGTCATGTATTAAAATCTATTCATAAAATGTTTCCATTGCTGGTAGCCATTCATTCTCGCCCACAACCTCCTGACATATATCTGAAAATCGGTCTGAGGCGCCTGCTTCTGTCTGCTTTTAAAATCTCGCTGAAAGTGCTTTATCATTCTGGTGCAGAGTTGTGCTGCATGGAGCCGATTCGTCGAATGGGTGGTGCTGAACTAGACCTTTATCTTCACCCACTCTGCCCACACCTCCCAGACAGCTCAACGGCAGCAGCTCTCTGTCACCGTGGAAATCTCTACTGTCATCGTAAAACACAGATAATAAGCAGCTCAGTATATGCAGCTTGTTTAGGGTGCTGAACTCATGAGGAATTATTGTGAAATTAAAGTGTTTCTGTTTGTTTTTATCGGATAATTTCCAGTCAAAATGAAGTCGGCTTGGTGTGAAGGTCTGCTTTTCATCAAGTTGGGTCTAAAGTGATTAAAATTGGAACTCTTTAAATTCTAAGCCACAGAACTTGAGTTCACACCTCTGGGAAACATTTTTAAAAAAGCAGAGAAACATCCTTTAATGTGTTTGAGGAAAAACAAGGCAATAACAGAATGCTCTTAAAAGCAAAAATAGCATTTAAACCAGCCACTGTTTTAATGTAAACAGACACACCGCATACTTTCTCTGAGGTATCTGACTCAATATCATCCACTCCAGCAAATACACTCTATTATCTCTGTTTTATTGGGGGTTTTTGTGATTTACTAACAAAAAGTATCTGTAGTGAGCCCACATTACTGCCTCCAGAAGTGGCACAAAGAGTAAAAGAGATCCAATGAGTATTTTCAGGGATTTAATATCTGTGCATGTAGATAACTTGAGGATGACCCTGAACATGTAACCAATTATGAAGCAGCACACAGATCAGGTGGGATCAGGGATAAAGTAGAGAGATGTTCAAAGCAGGGTGAGCTTATAAAGCAATACCCCATCATCCGAGCTCATAAAGAGTCTAGCAGCTGGAAAACGTCCCGGAAACAGTGCCATCCCTAAACTATGAGTCCAAGGAAGTCATTGACCACAGAGGCAAACCAAGGGCCCATTGTTGACTGTGTTTGAGCAATAAAAATAGACAATATTTCAAATGAAATCACCAGAAGCCCAGGTTAGCATTGCCCACATAGCAGACAGAGCAAACATGGATCACAGATAAAACAGATAAAACCAACCAACACAGGCAAACCACCTAAACCCTAAACCCTAAACACACCGTGATTGCAGTAAAACCATTGCGGCTTCACTATTTAGAAAGCTGCTTCAGGTATCCCCCAACCCCCAACAACTAAGGGGTTTTCTTTAAAGTACTGAGTCACGGGACTAAAAGCAAAAAAATATTAAAGAAGCTTAACTAGTTCTTCTGATCCTTTGAGATTGATGCACTAATTATTTGTCTATCGCTTTAATCAGTTGGAAAATATTAAAGTTGTGGTGTAATGTGACAAAATATGACAAGGTCAAGACTTTTTTGAGGCACTGTGGGCGTTGTGTCTGATCTCTGTGTCACTGAAACAGTTAATCCACTCTGATTTAGTGACATTTTGAATTACTGGTGTGTGGGCTTGAAGATTATTTCTGTTTCTTTAATGGAAGACAACATGTCATTTTTTAGCCTGCTTTGTCTAAGCCTTTTGATACTGTTGATACTGTTTACTACAATGGTTAAATCTGTGGAACTCAGATGGATATGTTTTTATATGCTGCAATGGCTTTTTCCCGTCGTCCCTGAGCTCTGGACTGAAGACGAACTTCTTAGATCTTGAGGTCGTCCATCCTGCCCTTGTTGTTGCTGTGCTTGCTTGACTGACTGTTTCTACGTTGGCTTTCAACAGGAGTCTCAGTAACAGGACTGGATGTTTTCGCTTTCTCTGAATCGTCTACCTCTGATCTGCCTTTTCTCTCCACGGCCAAGTTGTCTCTGTTCTGCTTGTAAACTGCTTTGCTGTTGTAGGGGCTGTAAGCGGAGTCTGGCTCTGCTGTGCGGTACTTGGAGTCTGCCGGAAAAGGCTCGGCCACAGTAGAGTGGCCTGTGAAGTAGGTGTAGTTTGGGGCGAAAGGTATGACCCCCTCAGTCAGGGCCTTGGTAGCTTCTCTTTCCTTCTTTGACCGTCTGTAGCGAAGACCTTGGTGGCAGTTTTTGAAACCTAAATGGTACATTTCCACCAGATTGAGGAGTAGGGATACTGAAGCTACTGCCAGCATGAAAAGGATGAAAACCGTCTTCTCTGTGGGTCGAGAGATGTAGCAGTTCACCATGTTAGGGCAGGGCCAGCGGTCACAGGTGTACATTGGCTTCAGCTCAAATCCGTACAGGAAGTACTGAGCTACAATGAACGCCACTTCAAAGAGAGTCTTGAAGATAATGTTGAAGACATACGTTCGCAGCAGAGCACCATGCAATCGCACATGGCCCTGGTTGTCTTTAACTGAGGCTTTTTTGGGCTTATAGCTGATTAACTGCTGCTGTTTTTCATTCTTGATATCAAGGTCCTTGAGTTTCTCCTTCTCCTTTTCCTCCATGCGTACCAGATGAAGGATGTGGCCCAGATAAATAAGAGTAGGCGTAGAGACAAAGATGATCTGCATCACCCAGAAGCGGATGTGAGATATGGGGAAGGTCTTGTCATAGCAGACGTTCTGACAACCGGGCTGCTTGGTGTCACATGTGAACCCAGACTGCTCGTCTCCCCACACCTTCTCCGCGGCTGCTCCAAGCACCAGGATGCGGAAGATGAACAGCACCGTCAGCCAGACCTTGCCAACAACGGTGGAGTGTTCCTGGGCACTTTCCAGCAGCTTCCCTAACAAGTTCCAGTCTGCCATGTCTGCCAACTAATCACCAAAATCAGGGGACAAACCTGCAAAAAAAAAAATGTAAAAATTCAGCAAAGATCAAGTAGTTTCTGAGTTTCTAAAAGAAAAATACAGTCTATAGCCCAAGTTACACTACACTTTTGAAACCGTGCCGAGCTCAATCCTAGCACAGTAACCGAGATAACAGTTAAGGGTAAACGGCATGTACAACTGAACAGGACCGCGCCAGACACAACTGAACCGCACTAACATGGCACTAGTTCATTGATGGGGCTCGGCGTGGTTCATCTCCTTACAGTTAGCCTCCGTAATCATGAAACTTCAGACATTCATAAAAATACCAGCTTCCCTATCGTGCCACATAATTTCCAGTGATGATTCTGCTTAGCAGTGTGATGTACCTCAACATCGGCCATTGTTTCCTGCATCTGTAAGCCCTGATTAGACTATTGTTTGTTGTATCCACTTCCCAAAAGCCGATTCTATCAAGTAAATTCCCCAAAGGCTGCCTCTCCGCAAACTTCCTGAATGTTACGGCCGCCGCCATGTTGGTTTGCTTGTTTACCTCTAGAGAGCAATAGTACCGTAGATCGCCACTAGGCGGTGAGGACCATGCTAGAGTGGTGTATAAATGGTTTTAAGGAACCAAGCTCAGCATGGTTAACTGATCCAAGCTCGGCACACATCGGATTTATGAGAGTAGTGTAAATGGGGCTAGTTACTCTATTTAAGTTCCTTAGCATCTGGTCCAGGAGAGCAGAAGATTAATGATTTAGCAGTCCTATAAGAAGCAAAAATTAGAATGACTTTTTAAAAAGCCAACCACAAACCTCTGAAAAGCATTTCTTTATCCTGGGTCAGCCATGATTTTCTATCTTCTATAGATTTTGCTTTCTATGTTTGTAAAAGTTTGTCTATGGGATGCTTCCTCTTTTGCTGTGGTTGGTATTTTGTTTTTTCCCTGTCATTTGTTTCTAGTTATTCTGTATTTTCAGGTTTTTTTTTCTCCTTTCTTTCTTTCTTTCTTTCTCTCCATCTCACCCTAATCTGATTGGTTCTCTCTCAAGAGCCTCTACATTGGGATAATATAAGGATAATATTTACATAGAGATCACGTCAGTATTAAAACACAGCAGTTGTCTTCTTTCTGCATCTAAATGTATAAATCAGAAAATTGATCACTTCTGTTTATAACTATTTCCTTGCCATCGTTCTAAAGTCTAATTTATCCTCATTGAACAAATGAAATGATTGTTTGGGCTCACACATTTATGTCACAGCTTAATAAAGTGCTGCTACTTTAGAGGTTCTATTTTAAATCAGCAAGTGATTCTGAAACAGAAGCTCTCAGTACTCCTTTATTCTAAACTAGAATTACTAAATATATAGATCAACATTTTGTGAACTTGAACATTTGTATATACAGTGAAAGATTTGATAGTGGATTTATCGACTTTTATGATTTTAAAACTTTTTAAGAAATTCTTTATTTCACAGACTAAAAATCTCCATCTTTAAAGCATCACGCTGCTATTTTTCTGTGAAATATTGTTAAATATTTTCTTTTTATCTCATAAAAGCTTCTTCCTCATTATACTTTTTACCGTCCATATTGCAGGATTTTGGAAAATATTTTATCTTTTCTTAAGTTAATTTTAATACTTGGCAGTAAGTTTTTACTTTTTTATGTGAGCCATCTCCTTTCCTGATCTCAGTTAAGAGAAAATGAGACGCACTGAGCCGATTTCCTTTGTCTCAATTTGATATTCTCACTCAGAGGCACTGTCTCCGTTATCAGAACTCTTTGGGTTCACATATTCTCTTATAATTGTCTCATTTTAGCTTATCTCTTGCTACGGATGGACCCTCAGAAGTGACTCAAAAACACATGATGCCCAAACTGATTTTAAGAAAGGAGATTGAGCAACACATGAGCAACACGTTTCCTATTGGCTCTATTTAAAAGTTATTCATATTCTGTATTTGTACATTTTCTAATTTAGTTGGTTTGGTTTTTCTAACCACACTTTTACTTTATGCTATAAAATTGTTTAGTTTTCTAACAAACTAAACTAAACAAGAGTGACTTTTATAATTGAAAATATCAAAACTCTGTTGGATGATCATCTATTTTTGTTTTCTTGCTGAAAAAAATACCAGCTTTTGAATTAATATTTTTCCCATTTTACATTCATTCTATTGCAATGTTGTTTAGATGGCCGCAATAGATTCTTCTATGGATGGAATTTTATTCTATTATTGTTTTAAGCAAAGAGCATGTTTGTAAATGGAACGCTAAAAAAATACAATCTAGAAATGAAACATCGAAAAAGTTGTAAAGTAACTCATGAAGTTATTTTGAATCTTTGTTTCTCATGTTTCATTTTGTCAAGTTATAATTGTTTTGTTTTTCTATAATTCTATATTAATTTTATTTTTCAAACTTTCAAACTAACAAGGTTTTTATTCTCCTCAAATTGCGGTTGACAGATCACATCATCTCCACTTCTCAGGGTGGGCTTTCTTCTGGAGTTAGAAACAAAGATGCATTTCCATGTACTGGGATTGAGGTTAAGAGAACGTGATCTATTAACGCAATTTGAAATGAATGCAATAAAAAAAATAAAGTTGAAAATGTAAAATCTGTGGAAAATATTAACAAATAAAAAAGAATTTGGGGAAAAAATAGCAAAGTTACTCTCAAAGCTTTTTTTATTAAATGTTTTTTTTTTTTTTTCATTTTCTTTCCTTAAAACAATAAAGGAACAAAATGTTCTCCGTACTATTCACAATTTCTGTCAGAAGTTTCTGGAAACATTCTGGTTTTGACGCCGCAGTGAAGATGTACACAACAAAACTACTCGGACTAAAAAGATTTAAAGTTTTTAAAATATGAACAATAAAAACACTTTTAAGAGTAAATTTGGGAAACTAGGATAGCGCTTCTGGTTAATGGAGCTTTTTATCTTCACCATGCACCCAGTAAACCAACCAGTTATGCTAAAGTATCAGCTGTCCCATCAAAGCATCTAAAATGATGTCTTTCATATTTGCACTTTACTGAAATAATCTGAATCCATTTGTTCTTCTGCTTTTCTGGTTACCTCTGTTTTTTGTCAGCGACATAATGAACACATCTGACGTTATAATCTGATTATTACGTTTCTCTATAATGTTTAGGACTGCCTTTCAAATCAGAACATGACTTGTTTCAGAGTAAAAAGGCAGCATTTGTTCATGCTGGTCTGCAGATTCGTCCCTATGCTGAAGACAGTTAGGCATCAGAAAGGCCGTACACAGGCATGCCAGTTAAGCTGCGAATGGACCATGAAGCTGACATTTCTTTTCTGCGATGTGGTATCCCTTCATGCCTGCTGGTGGGAACATCCTGGACAAACTCACTGTGTGAGTGAAAGCCCCCGAAGCGCTCTTGGTGAGACTGCTGGCCTCACCGGGGATCTTGTGACAGTTAGTCTAACTGAGCCACACGAACTCTTTTAAAAATAGTTGCACTTGTCATTTAAAAGTGAGACACATCAGGAAACACATGGAGATCTGAGTACCTGTTTAGAATACGCACTATGTGGCAGAAATCAGGAGACAGATGAAACCAAAACCCAGCCACACTTTAAATCCTTGCAGGGAAGATACAGATAGTGATAAAGAATAACGTTTCCATCAGAGAGGATTACCTACATGAGAGAAGACCTACCTGATAAGGTTCATTTCCTTCAGCCCTAAAGTGAATACGACTCTTCAGCTCACAGGGGGACCATACTGGAGGAAACACTTTCCACTCTATAGAACTGCTTGGTTGTCTCCCTATTATTGGGATTTTACCAAATCCTCTTTTTGAGAGGCGTTACAGAGAAGAAACTTTTCCAATGTGCAGAAGCGTCTCAGAGCCGTCTTCTCAAGAGGAGTTTCTCTGGGCTGAGTGGCAGTTGGAGGGTCCAGTCAGGATGCAGACTGAGCTGACGGCTTACTGTGCTCTAAATATAATCCACGATGCGGGGAGTGGCTGTGATGCTGCTCCTCTGGTGATCTGACCCCAGGCTCCTTGGACGAACTCTGAGAACTTAAAAAATGAACCAACTGCTGATGGTGTTGAGGAATGTTGCAAAGGGCTGGCTTACATTTGATGCTTTTAGATATAGCACCTCACAAAAGTTGTTAGTTTAAAGTTCAAATTTCTCATTTGATAATATGTACAAAATTAAATACATTACAAGTGATCAAATTTCCAGCATTTTGCTGTTTATAGCATAAAATAATTCATTGACATAGCAGACGACACTATATTCCTCATTCAGTCACGTGACCCACTGAGGAATGCCATGACGTCAGTTTAATCAGGAAGTTAACATTTTACATAGCGAGTCAATATTTATTCACCTTTGTTATGGAGCTTTTATTCTTTAACAAGGAAGAATATGAAGCAATTAGAGTCTTAGTGGTTTTATTAATGCTCGCTGGTTTAATCACCACTGCTAAATGCTCTTTGATCTTATGCAGAGCCGATGGAAGTTTATTATCTTTCAGAACATTTTTCAGATGGTTCTGTGTTTAAATTAGTTTAAACTAGAGTATAGTATTTTGTTTAAGAGGGGATCACAGGACTTAAATCAGTTTTGGAGCCCTGTATGCGGTGCTGGATAGCAGGCTGTGCTATGCTGCTGTGCCTGGATGGGGAAAGCGGTCCCTCGGTGATCGGATCGCAGTGAGCATTCCAAGCACTGGGTCCTTTGTGCTTTCTGGGTGGGAAACATTGCACTGTGGATGTGGTTTTTACCCATTTACCTAGAGTTCGTTGTTTTATGAAATAAATAATTTCTGGAAAAAAATAAACAATGCTTTAAATCAGCTTTATAGCCATCAGACACTTTATTAAAGTTTTACAACAGAGAAAAAAAGCCGTCGCAACTTTGGTATATTGAATCCATTTGATGATGCAAGAGCAGGATTGATGATAAAAGAATCTGCCATGAAGTGTTCCGAACATAGTTTGCTGTATCGGCCTGGACGCCACATATTGACCGGTTGATTTCTGTCTAATCTATTTACTTTCCGGATCAAAATTTGGCACAAAATCAGGCCCTTAGGATAATCAAAACTTTATTTTTCCCTATCAAAAGGCATTCCTACTATTGGCAGCAGTACAATAGACCACTGTAATGATGTTTTAACAATCCGTTTGTGGTTCTCAACAATGTGTGAAGTAGTGTTTCTATACACCCGCCTGAGGATGATTGACTACACTGACATCACAGCTGTGTTTTTGGTCATGTGACTGCTCTAGAGGCTCTAGAGGCGCACAGTATACTGTAAAATTCTCTCGATTTTTACTACCTGGAGCTTTTTTTGTGTGATTTAGACCAGCCATATAAAAAAAAGAAATGATAATCTACCATCACACACAATAAACCTGCTCTAGACTCACTTCTTTCTATTTGACCTTTAAACTCCTTCCTATTTTTGAAGATTACAACAACAAAACTGTATTTAATTAGGATCTTAGACCAACATGAAGTAGACAAGGGAATATTCTGGATTATTGCCTCATTTACACTACCCTTTCAAAACCATGCCAACAGCGGGCCGAGCTCGGTAACTGAGATAACGGTTGAGTGTAAATGGCACGCAACTGAACCGGACCATGCCGTACACAACCGAACCATGTTAAATCTAGTACTGGTTCAACTGTTGGGGTTGGCGCGGTTCAGTTGTATCTCGATTCTCTGTTAACAAAGAGCGCATGGGTGGACCGCGTCATCTCCTTACAGTCAGCTTACAGTAGTTGGCGGTAATGCACATAAGTTACCTGCCAACCGCCATAAAACAGAAGAAGTGGTACTGTAACCAAAAATGGGAATGGTTGTTGTGTAACCTGGGATGACGCCAAGACTGCCTTCTTCACTTGACTCTCCGCAAATAACGAAATATTACAATTATAAACAAACATAATTTGTTGTGTTATGGGCACCGCCATTTTGATTTAGTTTATTTCCTCCTTCAATCCTAGAGAGCATTAGTACCGTAGAACTTCACTAGGAGGCAAGGAACCGTGCTAGCATGATGTGTAAATGGTTGTAAGGAACCAAGGTTGGAACTGTTAACTGATCCAAGATCGGTCCGAACTCGCCACCGATCAGTTTCAGAGGGTGGTGTAAATGGGGCAAAAGTGGCATGTATTGGTTTTACTCAGATGTCTCACGAGTCCAACTGTCTCTCAGTATGAATCCAACTTTTCTCATCATTGTTTTTGTTTTCCCTTTTAGAGGATGTTGGGGAACAAACAGCATCATGAAGACAAGGAACAAACTAGACGGTTCAGGAACGTTCCTGAGAGCTTTGGGTTTATTAAAACAAACCAAGAAAAGAAAATCAAACAATTTTATTTGAATGGTGTCCAGGAGGTGCAAAAATACAAACAAGCAAAAAATACGACAAATGCAAAAAATCAGACTAGCAAAAACAAATAACACATTAAAAGAAAAAAGCGCAGTGAAGGAGAAATGTTGCAAATACAGAAAGCAAAGAGGAGCAAATTGCAGTTGTTGCAAGTAGCAAAAACAACTTAAAATTCAGTAATGAGCTCTGCATAGTTGAACTGCACCAGACCAGTAGGGGGAGACGATCATCATCTCCTATGGAATCGGACCCTTAGCAAAGATATAAAGTAGATAATCAGAGCGATCAAGTATTTAAAATAAGACTTAAAGGAGAACATAGTTTTTCTTGCTTCCCTCCAAATGTCGCCTGGACGGTATCTAGTTTCTGTTTTTGCTAACAGTCTGTTTTCAAAGACTTTAAAGGCTAATCCAGAATAGAGCAAATTTCTAGCTACTGTCCCTTCATTTTCATGGTGTCATCCGTAAGATCTGTCATGGCTAGGAAAGGAATTCCAGACGGCGTTCTGAATTTGGACAGTCTTAGGAGTCCCTGTATGCTATGTTCTTTGGGTTTTCTGTTTCAAAATGTGATCTCAAAATAAAACAACAGTGTTATTTTTCTGTTTCTGAGCGCCTCCAGCGCTTACTCTAAGCAGAGTACGCAGAGACACTAAAGCAACATTAGAAGCATTGATCCAAGAACATTTCCAATGTAGGAGATTAGTAGCAGAAGTAGCTCCTGTAGTGGCTTTGTGTAGGAGAAAAACAGCTAAACAGATGAGCTTTGAGCCAAGCTTTAAGTCCCGAGAAGCAGATCCAGTTAGTCCCAGTAAACTCTCAGCTAAAATGCCTAGAAGAAAGATAATAAACATGTGAAGGATGTGTTCTGACCAAAAGGTAATGCCCTTCATTAAAAACCTTCATATGAAGAACACATGTCTCTGAAAGCCATGTTGTGACATGGTGGTGGCTGCATTATGCAGTCCGGGTTAAGAAATAAAATAGGCTGTTTTACATCACCGTAAAAACTGATCTAAAGACAAGTAAAAACCTCTTATAATCCACTTTTTTTGCACTTAATTTGAGCAGTTAAAGAACCTGATATGCCAAAAAAATCAGGATTTTTCGCTTTAAAATAAGATGACTGGATATAATGCACATGAAATGTTTTTTTTTCTTACTTAAATGTAATTAATCTTATTTGGTTGGAAAATTGTCTGACCTGGCTGCTTAAAACATAAAAAGAAAAACTTTCAAGAAAAACTGACAAACATACTTCAGGTTTTCCAGTAAAAATGCTCCTTTATTAAATACCTCCAAGTAATAATTGAAATCAGGGTTTCCCAGTTAAAACATGGTCAAAACATTTTAAAAGGTGTTTTTTCTAATTTGACCTTTAGGTCGGGGCCCTAAATGTAATCAAAAGCTAATTTTGTGTTTTATAACAGTTTGACCATAAGCAGCTGAAGGGTTAAAAGCTTAACATTTGTCTTTACTGATCAGATTTATTTTTCACCTTCCCTTCATGTCTTCTGCATTAAAGAAGACAAGTTTACTTCTAGACGGTTCCTGTTCAGCACCTCTCATTAATATGGACTTAATAGAAGGAGAAGTTTTGGCTTGTTCCATAAAAATATAAGCACCCCCCCATCAGCAGGCCCAGCTGTCCTGGGGTCACTCATTGTGACACTGACCCGCTAACATGGGGTAGCTATTGATAACCTCAGTACTAATTATGAGAGTGACGGGTTGAGACGGTTGCTCACAGGTGGCAGCCTGGGATCTGTCTCAACAAGGTGGAGGTGTTGCTCAAAGTGTGTTTAAGTTTATTGTAGGTTTTCCTTTTCCTTTTATCAGACTCTGGTCACGATTTCAATAAACAGCCATGTTTTCACTCTCTTCAGAGGACAAACACTCTGTTGGTCACCTTGTGAGGACAGATTTTTCACATTTTATTGTGTCAAACTGTTGGTATCTTCTTTAAATAGAAACATGAGCAGAGATTACTGAAGGTGCTTCAAACTGTTGAAAGCTTGTATTTCAGTGAGTTCAAAACTGTGTATTCAGCAGTGTACGTACCTGTAAAATCCAAATATAGAAAAACAGTAAAAAAAAAAATTTTTCAACCACTCAGATGTTGTAGGAGGCCTTTGAGGCTGAAAATTTTATGTTTTAGTGAGTTTTTACAGAAATGTAATATTGCAACAATGGGCCAAATTGGGAGCAGAATTTACTGTATTTGTACTCTTTGTCTGAACAACAATACAGAACTACGGATTCATTTGCAGGGTTTTACTTTTACCCCAGAACAGTGTAACATTAAAAATAATTTCAGTCATGTTGTTATGAATAGTTTTTTTTTTTTTTTTTATTCCAGCAAAGAGAATTTCTTATTAACAATGATAGTCCCAAAAACAGTTTCTGTCCTCGGAAAATTAGGGGCAAACATCACACTTGCTGCACTGGATATTCGTATACCCTTTACTGCAATGTCTGCAGCGGCCTCTCTTGACCTTCATGGCGAAATGTCCAGTGAGGTCCTTTCGCCCATCGAGTGGAGGGATTTGCACATTATTTCTTGGAG